CTATTTTAATAACAATAGGCGTTAATGACTCGAGGAAGATCTCGCGTGCAGAAAAACGTGACAGTGCACTCACTTCAAGCTCTAAAATGGACGAATGATACGTCACAATGCACTCTAAGCGGCAGTCCGAGAGTGCGAAAACCAGGTACCAAAAGTAACGTTTAAATCCTACGTACAAAGCATCATTTCGTCATACTTCTAATTTATAAATTTACCACACCATACCAAAAGCACCCTCTAATTAAAGGCCATATTTTTTGATTCGCTTAACTTTCCTATCTAATGCAACTTAGAATAGCGAATCTATTTTATATTCTTGAAATATTATCACAATTTTCAAAAAATATTGCGATCGGTAAAAAGATAATAAAAAAATTGAATAAAAAAAATATTTTTGTTCATCTAAAGAAACACAATGCTCGATATTTGATTTTTTGCGGACAAATATTTTTAAGTGCTATAAAAAATTTATGTGGACGATGACACGCATTGTTCAATTGCTCTACGAGGACCTGCGAATTCTGGACTCACGCCCAAAATCTCCATAAGATCTCCTCGTTGAGCTACATACACCAAGCAATACATTTCCGATAGACGAAGCGCCGAATCATTGTAGGATATTCGTTCCGTGTTTGCGTGAGATTCGTCAGAAACTGATGTCAGTTTATCTAAAAATTAAATAATTATTAAAAGACCTTTGAATAGTAACAATGACAAAATAAATAATGTCATAATAATGGAACAAAAAACTTACTGCGGCTAACATATTCATAAATGATATAATCATCTAAACTGGAGAATTCATTAGAAAAGAGACCTATCCAATCGCTATTATTTGGCGTGAAATCTCTTTGCAGTTTGTAGGATATAAAATTTTCCTCTACAGTGCAATCCTGAAATTCCACGATGCGATCTTTTACATTAGATCTGACCTAAAGAAGATTTTGTTTTACATGTGGCTTAATAAAAAGAGTATATACAACAGAGATAACAAGATTGTATTTTTACCACGATATCGAACTCTCCAGTTACAGGTTTATGATCTGAGACACTGTAACTAGGATGACTCTCGTAAGTATGCTGCTCAACATGAATTTCTATATCGTCATATATATCCGCTGCATTTACTTTGTACAAAATCCTGTCAGTCCAAGACGGTCTACGCCTGCGTAAATAAATAAATTGTAGCATATATCAAAATGTTATTTATTTTAAACAGAATATAAATTTGTCTTAATTGATATACTTTTAGATTTGTATAATTTACTTGAGATCAAATTCCTGGGATTCAAATTCGTATTTGTAAGTAGGCGGAAATGTGATGCTACTTTCATTTAGTTCGGCAAAAGCTTGTTGCTCCTTCATTACTAGTTTTAGCTGATCCTTTTCGAGCAATTTCTTTAATTGCTTTTTCTTCACTAGTAAGTCTATATCGACGGCAGTTAAATCTTCTCCGTTGAGCCGAAAGTTTAAGTCACCAATCCAAAATATATAACTAATGAGAAGTAAATACATTACTAACATTACTAAGAACATAATTAATTCTATTTAAACAATTTAAAACTTTAAGTATAAAAATGTACGTACTCGTGATATAATATTCTCGATGTACATGGAGCAGTGAATGTATGATCTGTCACAATGGTATTATAATCTGATATTCTATCGGCTAATAAGTGGTCATGGGGAGTTAAATGTGTATTCACTACACAGACACTAACCCCATAAGCGTTCATTCTTATGCTCACTGCACCTTTGTTTCCCTAAAAACAGACAATGCAATTAGTAGAACATAAATTGCTGTTATCATATTGTCTTCTTACCCACATGCCACCAAACCCTGTCTTGGTATATTGAGCTTCTATTAATCTTAAACACGTTAAATGCTTCCTCAGACAGAAAGCATTCAAAACAAGGCCTTGCATCCGCTGCGAACGTATTTTTACATAATCGTATTTCTTCAGCACATCCCTACAAATGTGTCAACATTGAGCTGTTTTAGATAAATGTACATACATCGAATGACAATCATACATAAGCTTCGTAAGCTTCGTTGTATTTTATTAATAAAATTACCTGAAGGCTTTAGTCCAGGGATCCTCAAACAGTATAAAGTCTAATACTATATTCTGCGGTTGTGATTTAACTTCCTGTAAACTAAAAGAATACTTGCTTTGTCAGAATCAAATCGAACATGTCAAGAGGCGTTCTGAACATACCCGACGAAGTATAAATCCGGCCACAGCTTTGATTCGTCGCAAGATGTAATGCCCAGGAGCTGGTGAAGATCCTGCCTGGGATCCGGGAACTTCGTGGCCACATTGTACGTGACGAAGTAAATTCTACGTGAAAAGAAAACACATTAAAAAAGAGATCGTCATCTCTAGTACATAACCTATGACGCAGTGTACAAGTGCAGAGGTCAAAAGTCTTCCGATTTACCTGAGACGTTCCACTGGATGCGCCATTTCCGGAGCCGTCGACGCGAGGAATGAGGTTTCACGAGGAATTTATGTAGGTTCGCGAAGGGGAAACGGATTCACGTCGCGGTCACTCCGCGCAGCGCCGTTGGACAGCTCATCGTTCGTTTAGGTTATGAAATTACGCGCACCGCGTACTCGTCCTTCGTGCGTACTTTCACCCGCGGCTATGTCGGCCGCGAGGGAACCGGCGTACCGCCAGCGAGACTAGTCGCGTTTGCGGTCGCGAACAACATCTGTTCGCGTGCGATTCGGCACGACGATGCGACGTCTACGGAACCATATTGTTGACAATGACAAGCGCGGAGGGATGACAAAGCTCCCCCTTTTCGCCGCTCCTTACCGCAACGGCTCCCCACCACGGCCGTCGATGCCACGTGACATCTGTTATTACGCGACTGCGGTTTGCTGCAATTGAAGGTTGTAGATCGCAGCTGCAGCCGTAGGCTGCACGCACGCTGTCTCGATCGATTTGCGATCAAGCGCGACGCACGATCCACGATTTTCCTCGTCATCGTCGCGATCTCTGATCCCCTTGCCGTGAAAAGGTAGGACACCCGGTTAGCATCGCGTCAGCTGATAATGACAGATCCTCTCGCGAATCCAGGGTGAATGGTCTTCGTTCGAGTGATTAACTTAATCGACGATAATTCGTCGAGTAATAAAATCTCTTTCTTTCAATACGAATTAGCTTATTAACTTAGCTTTTTGTCTTTTGACACACGTGAAAGGAAAGCTCGAGGATGACAAATTATATATTAGAACTTTTGTTGCGAGCATAATGTAAGTTAAAATGATTAATTTATTGATAATTAATGATTACGAATAAAAATTTAATTATGCCGATTAATAAAAATTCTTAATTGTTATGAAATTAATAAGTTAGTGTTAATTATCAATTATTAATTATTAATTTTTCATCAAAGCGTAGATTAAATTTATTGTTCTTTTTTTAATCGGTTATACGTTACGTAAAATGGAAAATTAAATACCTTTAAATTAGTCAATCAGATATTAAATCTATACATCTAATCTATATTTAAAAAAAAAAGGAATTGATATTTTAACGGCATATTCTCTATTAATAATTCGTCAAAGTTATAGATATAATTTTTATCTAAAACGTAATTAAAAATTAACAATAAACAGTTAATTATTACCTTTTTGAGATCGGCGATTTGATTAATATCGATAGTCAATTAAATTAAATATGATCATATATTAAATTTCAGTCTCATTACTTTAACTTCAATTAACAAAGAATTTAATCAATTAATACTACGTAAATTAATATTACGTAATACTAAACTGTTAATTTAATAAATTAATCAAATTATGATTATATATAATTAGATTTTTAATTCATTATTTTAATTAATAAAGAAATTAATCGACCAATGTCCAATACTATGAGCAATTTTGCCGGTTGAATCAATCTGATGGATGATCGGAGTTTGTGTATAGTTGCATCCCTAAAAAGAATCGATTTCCAATAATCGAAAATTCTAATGCTTGGAATAATTGCAGTATCATTCAATCTATCAACAATCTTTATTTCTCAGTTAATTAAGAGGACTGTTGATGCGAATGTTTCACGTTAAAAAGATTCAACAGTAAGTGTCAAAGACTAAGAATTGAAAAAAAGTATATTTCTCGTATAAAAAGATGTGGTCATAACGTTTATTGCATTATTTCTAGAGACACGTACACATTTCCAGTTCGAGCCTCTCGTATCTCGGTGATTCGCAATTACAGGTTCGTTTATTGCTCGCGGCGATTCGCGATTGATCGTCTCGCGTATTCGTCTCTCTGAGAGATACATTCTCGCGCGGTAGTCATCCAAATTACAAAGTACACAGAGTCCACTCGACACTCGTCTGATAACGACGATTATTTACAATAACGAGAGATCAACAATCGTTTTGTCGCGCTCGTCCGTAATCTAAGATTCCAAGGTGCGACGCAACGCGCGTGAAGTGAGCCTTGCTGTCATCGGCGATAAAATTCCACGCTTTATCAGTACATCATTCCGGGATGAGCGGCCCTTTGGAAGAACACGTTGGGGTTGGCCGACAAGGTCGTGTAGAGATTCCCGGCGTCCTCCGGCCTCAAGTACATACCGGGTGGCAAAACGAACGTCTCCATCGGCCCGTGCACATCTGAAAGCAAGCGTAGAGAGATGCGTTTCCTCTGATAACGTTCGCCGAGTAATTGATTCGTGAAAGAGAGAAAATCAAGACCTGATCGGGAAAATTGGTGCTAACCTACGCATCGCCTCGATTTACGAGCGCCGGACACGCTTTATTAACCGGTATCGATCGGAGAGGCGCGTATCTCCGGTCGTAATTCTCCGCCGTACGCGGCGTGGCTATCATTTTTTGTCTGGCGATAATAAATAAATTATAGTATCGCGATACGCAAGAATCGAAATCGCGCTGCGCATAACCGGGACGAAGCCCTCGTTACGCCGCACGCGTTAAACGTGGCTGTAATTTAAAATCGTCGGCTCAAAGTAGGTCTCGTCGTTCACAGCTGTCGTTATAAGACGATTACGCGAAGTTCGTCTTCGCTTTAACACGTGTAGCCTAATCTGTAATTAAACTTTATTTTCGACAGCTTCATCACACGGTTCTTTAAAAAAAAAATTAACGAAAACTTTCCTTGGAGAAATGAGGTAAATTTGCGGATATAATGTCACTTTTTTTTTTCTACACTCCTTCCGTTGATGTTACACTTTTCTACGTTTACTTTTACAAATGTAATTTTCTCGGGAAAGAAAGAAACGAAAGAGAAAAGAAAACCGAGAAGATAAGTATGTAAAAGTATGAATTATTATAAGTACATCTTCTTTCGCAATGTTTAAATATAATGATATAATATTTTTATAGTTTTTTAATCAATAATCACAATATATGTTATAAAGATTTATAAAGGTATTTTAAATCATTTTACGTGTAAAAATTATGAAAATTTATAACATATAAGTATTTGATATCATAAAATATATTTATATATTTTAATCAAATTTTTTTTTAATAAACTAATAAAAGATATGCAATTGTTGTTTTTGCATATTTGATTTTAAGATTTTTTTCTTATTTTAATGAAACTTTGTTACTTTAAATTATACATTAAGATACTTAAATAAATGCAATAATGCAACAATCTTTTTGCGCAATATGTAACATAATGTTTTAGATAAGCGCATCTTTATTTCCGTAATAATATATGGCATATTCCATGACGAGAATTTTATCGTTTCTTTACCAGAATATTCTCTTCGTGTAACGTTTGTTGCTACGCGCTAATGATAAAGGAAGCTTCTGTCAACGAGATGTCGTGTCGCGTAACGAGGGTCGTGAAACGGCTTGGTGTTCCCGGACCGAGAAGGCTAGCGACCTTCGCCTCTCGTATAATCTCTTGCATATTTCACGCCTTGCTCGTAATAATGAGCCTCGCCGCGAAGAAATCGTATCGCGTATCGGGAGATGCGCGTGCAACGGCTATCGGAACAGCACCCATGTGAAATTCCTCGTTCCAACAAGGAGAACGAGGGCTGCTGTCGAATCCTGCGGGCGAAAGTGGCGTGTTTCACGATTTCTCGTAGATCCGACGCGCGGATCATGGATCGGCCGCGATGTTGGTGCACGGCTCATTACAAAGTGTGCTACACGTCGTTCCCCGCTGAATGGACACGCGCGGATCTTTAACGTAAATGCGTATCGCGCGTGGGTGAAAGTCATCCAGCTGTGATTTACGATCCGGCTATGACCTACGGTCGTCGGTGTTGCGCGAACGTGCTGTTTGCGCGCTTGAGAAATGATCGTGACTCTCATCGATCGGGAGACTTTTTTCCTCTTTCCCTTCGTTTTCTTTTTTTGTTATTGTTTTTTTCTTCTCTCTCTCTCTCTCTCTCTCTCTCTCCCCCGCCCGCTCTTGATTCGTCTGTAACGCGTTGAGTAACGGCGCGACCTCGTTACAATGATGCGTTCCCTTCGAACAGAGATGAATAGGAGGATCTAGAAACTCATACGCGCGAGCGCGCTTTTCCATTATGTGACTCTAGAAAGTGTGAAACTCCCGCTTACAATGTTGTTCTCTCTAGAGGGAAATATATCTGGAAATCTCGGATTTTCTCGCACGAAGAAAAGACGAGGGAAGGCCGCTGCGTCTCCCCCTCGAAGTAACGACCGGCGAGGAAGAAGACCCGTTCGCGATCGTTCTATTCCACGTTAACGCCGGATTTTTGTCACCGCAATTGGCTTCGTCGTTTCACGAGGGCATGGTCCAATCTAACGGGATTTATTCTCCCTTCTCACTCCCCCACGTCTTCAACATCGTGAAGCAAGAAGCGATTGACCTCCGCGCCTCGGACTTTCTCCCCCTCCGCCTTTTCTCCGCCGCGCTGTCCTCTCCAACCTTCTCTCCTTCCCCCCCCCCCCGTCGCTTTTCCTCTCTTTCGTTCATTTGCACCTCGAGGTGAAGGTCGTCGAGGGCGTTAGCGTGACGGAGGAAAAGTTTCGGGCCAGGAAATGCGCGGGCAGGACAGGAAGTGTCGAGATTCTACGGATGATGTACGCGCGATACCGACATATAGCGAATATTCTTTGGCAAAGAAATCTAAAGGTATAACAAGCAAATCTTTTTTCAATCGAAAATTAGAAATGTACGAATAAAAAATTTTGCACGGGACAACGTAATGTGTAATGAAATTTCCACGTCTGATTCTTTTTTGAATGAAAGAATCATTATTTAGATAACAATATGTTGTTTAATCCTTTCGCGTCCGATTTTTTTAAAGAGGAATATAACTAATTTAATTATTTTTAAAAATTTCTGTGGTTAATGAATTGCAAAACGTATAAATTAAAATGATAAAAGAATAAAATATTTCAATTTCAATGAAAATTTGTATTGAAATCTTTTCAGAATTGTTGAATCTTTAAAAGTTTCGGTCTATATCATATAGTTGTAATTACATTAATCATGGTAAAATGAACAGGAGACTCGAAAATTTATATCTTATAGCATAAATATTATCAGAAATTGTTATCAGAATTGCATATGAGTAATCGCGAAGGTAACACTGCGCGCCGCTTTAAAGATGAATTTTTCAAATTGAATATAATTTTTATATACAACAAATGTTTAATATTTTATAATAATACTCATATATTTTATAGCACTAAAATTTAAACAATCCTCTTCAAAATGTCCCTATTTAAGTTTAATATTTCGATATTTACATGATTTCTGAAATGTGCTGGGACGTACATGTCCCGTGGGACGTGGATGAATTAAGATCGTTACGCTGATTATAATATATTCGGACTGATGTGGCTTTCGTCAGCGCTTCATCACGGGCCTCCCTGCGTCGTTGCGTGACGCGAAGGACACGACGGCGTAATCGGGGAAAATCCACGTCTCAAGGCACCTACGACGGGACGTCTTTGCGCCGCGATACATTACGACGCGGGCAGTTTTGCATACGGCACGTAATAATAATCGGCCGACTGATTCTGAAAATAAATAATGACGGCTTACCGTCCGAGTATATGGGACTTCCTCCGTGCCTGCAGGCGCTGCATCCGGGTATCCCGGACGAGACCAGTGCGACTCGATCTATAATTAGAAGTTTTCACGTTATGATAATCTCAGGAGGAGGAGGGGCGAAAGCGGGGGCGGGGGAAGGGCAAGGGACGATTACGCGAATTACGATGCCATTATCATGTACTCTCCGGTGCTCGCGGTCGATTCATAGCCGATTGCCAGTTAATCATGCTCGATTTGAGTTCTCCATCTTTCTAGCTATCCCGCGGTTGACGTTTACGATTTAAAAGGATTAACTAAAGACCAAATCCGCGACTCGAGCGATATTTATTTGCGCTTGATCTTCAAATCATGCATACGTACTTTTGTGCGTAACGCGACGTCGTGGACGCGAATATTTTCGTGTCATCAAGCGTGAGAATAGTTGCTCCAATTTTCAAGCGATGAAAATACGCGTTCCGTTTATTTACTTTCTCGTTTATCCATTTATTCACGTTTCACGCGCCGCCGATCTCGCTGGTCGTGACCGCATTTCCGTTATTCGGCGTGCGATTACGTTGTCCGCACTTTTAACGGCTACCGCGCGTTGACCTAAAGATCTACCCTGCGGGTATCGAACAAACGAATCGGAACGTTGCGGGTTGCAACGCCGAGAAGCGTAATCGCGAGACGTGCGTACGCAGTGAGAGAAACTTCGCGGATATTCGGATGAGCAAAAAGAGAGAGAGAGAGAGAGAGAAAGAGAGAGAAAGATCGTTGTGATAACATCAGTTGTTGCGCATCTTCTGTTCAACGGATCATTCTTGTGAATGACTTCATCCTGATTATCTGTGTTTACTTAAGAGAACTCGAGACGAGACGTACCGGCACTGTGGTAATGCATCTTCCTCTTCAAGGAGGCCTCCGCAGGCTTGAAGTGAAAGAAGGAGGGCGAGTAGCCGCTGCCGGGGAGAGAACTGAGGGCGTCGTCGCGATCGCGAATGACCGCGGCGGGCCCTTCGCGACCCAGGGCGGCCAGTTGGCGTCCCTTTGGCAGGAACATCGTGAGGAAGACGAAGAGCGACGTGGCAAGTAAGCCGTAGGCCAGCCAGGCTTCTCGGTCGCCCTCGCTGCCGGCCGCGAGCGTGCCGATCCCGCTGGAGATCCAGATCGGCAACGAGAGGCCGACCGCCAGCCCGATGAAGGCCGCTTCCCGATTATTGTCCCGGACGCCCCGCGCACGGACCGCTAAACATGCCACTGCTACCAACAGCGCTCCGGGATACCTGGAATTCACGGGAAAAATCATGGACGCGAGATGAGTTTCGCTTGCGAAAGCGAAAGACAATGCGAAGATTAGGTCGCATCTTGAAAATAATAATTATCCAACTAATAGTAATTAATCTAATTAAAGTACGAAGGTCATTAAAGAACAATGATGGAAGATTGTTAAGTAACGCAAGTAACGTGCGTTGCCGCGAAGTAGATGAATTTGCTTCTTGAAATTGAAAGAAGAAAGGCTCTTTTTGTATCCGCGAAAGTTTACCCGAGGGAAGCCACTATCTGTCCGAGCGGGGTCCTACAGGAGGTGATGGACGTCGACGAGCTTTGGCCCGCCGCTTGCTGTTGTTGTTGCTGCTGCTGCTGCTGCTGCTGCTGCTGTTGCTGCTGCTGCTGCTGCACCTGAATCACCGCAGGTGGTTCGCCGTAAAACCATTGCCCGACAATGGCCACCTGCACCAACACCGCGAACACCAGCACCAGCGCCTGCAGCATCGAGAACCGAGACAAGAAAGAACCTGGCACTTCCCCTCTATAAGATTCACGCGGCCGTCTACCCCTGGTCGATCGCCTTTAATTAAAGGTGAACGGCCTGCGGTGACATCGGCACCGCCGGCGTGTGCATTCTTTTAACACGTCACGTCAAACGCGCGTGACATATGAGAAATAGAAGAATGGCTTACGCGAGGGACACGCGTGAAAAATCTCAGTCGGATTTCCAGACGCGCGCTTCTCGCTGGAAATTTAATCTCTGCTCTTATATCTCCCATCTTAAGGACACACAGGAGGAGATTACAGATACAAGGGTTATAATTACATCGTTAAAATCCTGTTAATGTCTCTCGGCCGATCCATCACTTTCCTCTAATCAAACATTTGAACGGCGGCGCCTCGTTCTTAATTACGCGAATGTAATTACATTTCACCGGGCGGCATCTCGTCAGCGTGGACGGATCGTTCTGATTTCGTTCTCTCGGCGCGTATTTTTAGACGAGCCTCTCCGTCCGCGCCTCGTAAAAGCGATCCAGCGAGATCGACGCACCGGGGTAGGCGGGAGCACGTCGAACGTGAAAAATGGATGTTTATCCTGTGGGGAGGAGGCCTCCGCAGGGCGAGAAGCGCACGTCCTGCCACGCCTGTCATTCAGCCTGCGCACCAACACACCGCCGCGATAATTGCCTCTGTAGTTTTTCGCGCGCGCACGCCTGTAATTAATCGTCGTATGTACGGTACGATGACGCAACGGGAAAAGGGGAAGTCGCGGGGAGAAGGGTGATGGAAGAAATCCGGGACCCGTTTGCGACGTATAAATGACCGTGCAAGATGAATATCTGGATCGATGCTGACACACGGCGAAAAAATCGGCGAGGATCGTCGAGGCGTCGTTCCGCTGCGCGGAATTTCTCCGTATTCCGCGAGAAGAGAATAAATAGAATGATATAATTTATATTTTTGTAGGCATCTCATCGCGATGCCTACTTCGATTAGCTACGTGGATCTTATCGATGTTCACATCTTTCGCGCATCTTGAAATTATTTCGCCACACCTTCCACCTTCCACTGATATGAATTTCTCGGTATCTTTTTAACTTTCGATTTTCTCCATGATAATTATTTTAATAGTCTCCAAGACAGTACTCTGTCGAAATAATTACTCGCGCGAGAAATAAATCCAAGTCATCGGATCTCAGTTGCTTATTAGATAGACGTTAGGCGATAGCCTCCCGATTTGTGATGTGCAAAAACGAATGCCAGTAAATTGCTCGTGATTCTGGAACATTCTGCATATAATCGCTCACCTGATAGGGTGCTGGCAGATACACGCCGCTGTTCAATGAGAGCAGGAAGACGCATTTGACCAATAAAGCGGCGAACACAAGGGCGGCTGGCAGACCCACTAATCGGAAAGCGGCGCAGGACAGAGGGTTTTGACTGAGGGAGGCTGCGGCCGAAAGACCCGCCAGGAGGAAGAGACCCAGAAGCAATGCCTGGCCCAGAAACAAGTGTCGTCTGTTCGGTGCCGTTACTCTAGCCTAGGACAATACCATTATATTTTTCTCATATAAAATAATAAATTTTTTCTTAGCCTTTAATTAATTTTTTATATTAAGTTTGAACAAGATTTCGGTATAATATAATTGATTCGACGGATGAAAAATCTTGATGATCTTCGCGATTGCGGAGTATATTATTATAATTATTTCAAAATTATACAGACTTTTTTTATTTGAAAAAAAAAACATCTTTTTCAATTTACTGTTTCTTCTTCTAATTCTATCAATTTTTTGTCTTAATATCGTACAGTTTTTCCACTGATTGCTTGTGATTCTCGAGATAAGTACTTATAAATTCATCGACTTTGTAAATATCAAAATATTTTAAAATCTAAATGTTAAAAAAAAATTTTAAAAATTTTTATTTTTTAAATTTTATATAGAAAATATTTAAATGCTTTTTACTTTAGCGTACATAATACCAGAATAATATTAAACGATAGAAATATTCGAATTAATATCGGAACCAATTTTTGAATTATTAAATTATTATTATTTCTAATTTTTTTATCTCTACATCTTTGTTTTTTGTTAATTGTAGTCATAATATAAAAAAATCAATATTAACATCCTAACTAATTGATTCTATGACTATTATCATAGAATCTACTCATGACTACTGTCGTACTTTTGTCATACTGTACATTTATTTAAAGTACATAATGCACTTTCATCAAATCGTTTGATACGCTCGGGTGATTTGACGCGTAAGATACTAAAGTGAATCCTCAAGAGTCCTAGAAGTACCGATCTCCATATCGTTTCTCGCGCTATTAATTCCATAAAGAGGATCGAGACGCGAAATGCAGATCGCGTAGAGTGGACTGTAATCGCTCGCGCGTCATAATTATGCGCAGATTAAACATGAAGTGAGTTTGCGTGAAGCCGATGTTAATTTCTCCAATTAAAATAACCGATATCCTGACTCGTTTTTTATTTACAAAATTAATTGTTTAAAAAATTCTATACTTTTTCTTTATGCATAATAAATGAACGAAGGAGAAATGAGAGCAACCACATATTTCCATAAATAAAACTGAATAAACAACTGAAAACTCACCATATTCATCAAAGAAAAAGAAAGGAGGAATAATTTATTTCTAAAGTGAAAAAAAAACTTTAAACTTTTAAGTAAAATTTTTTAAAATTTCCGAAGACCTGAATGGATGTTGTAAGTTGCTGTTTATTAAAATTTTAATTTGTTTAATTTCATTTGTCGAATTAGTCTCAATTTACTTTCTCTTAAACTGAAATCTCGAATTTCCGATAGCAATTAATCTGACAGCCGTTCAACGACGCACGGTGGGAGCTTCGCTAGCTCGGCCTTTCTTGCCGAGAGTTGCTCAATGGAGCATGTCGGAGAGGGTGCGACCGGGAGAAAACCGGGGCCGGTCTGAGTGCAAACTGGGCCTAGGTCTCGGCGAAATTCCCTCGGTTACTGGAGCTTGTCGAAACGAAAACGATTAATAGTGGGTCGACGGAGAGAAGTCGGATAGACGAGTTCCTTTTCGAGCTCTATTAATCCCGTGGTTGCGCGATCACCGAGTGACAAGTCATATTGATGTTTGCGCGTTCCATTTCACCTCGCGGGACCGGTTGTTCCCTCTTTCAAATTGCTTACGACACATTTTTGATGTGATCAACGCGAAAAAGTGAAACTAAGACATCCGTTATCTCCCGAGAACATCATTCGAGCAAGCGAACGAATGACATGATATTTATTACGCTCTAAAATAAAATCTCTTTGCATTAAGATTATAAAAATAAATAAACATATATATATATATATATATATATAA